TACCTAAAATGTACCAATAAACTTAATGGGGAAAAAAAAATTAAGTCTTGCTCCTGGCAGTAATATTACATACCACCTTGTCACAGTTTACAGCCCAGTCTGGCTGATAAACAAGGCCTCGGGAACCTGCAAGCTAACAGTGAACTACCATAAATTATACTTGATCTTGGCCAAACGGCTGGAAAGCAATAGGACTACCATAAATTAGACACCAGGTGCCACCCTTGGCTCCTGTAGAACCTGACATCATGGCCATCTCTGGGGTGGTGTCAGCCCACATGAGATATTGTATGCTGTTAATGATTTGCCCAATGCCTTTAAAAAATTTTTTTGTAGGATGAATATCAGGAATAATTTATGTTTATGTGGAATGGTCTACTGTATACTTTCTCTATAATTCCACAGAGATATCTCTGATCTCCTGCAATATGCCCCAGTAGCTAAGGGTAAATTTGCTACAAACCCAGAAATACTTGTCATCCACTACACTGAGGATATCCTATGCTGGCCTACTTAAGACAGCAATTGACCAGGCCCTACATAAGGTTGGCTCTGTGATACACACAGCCTAGGCTGTGGGCCATCAACTCTGAAAAGGCCCAGGTGCCAACAAGTGTTGTTTTTGGGAGTCATGTGAGCCAGTAACCAAAATAATACTCCTAATCAAATTAGACAAAAATCTTGTTTTAACAAGACAACTACCGCCAACAAAGGACTCAACAATTGGTAGACCTACATGGCTACGAAAGCACCTCATTTGGTATTCTTTTGGTCCTTTTGTCAAGTTTACTCACCAGGTGGTCACCTTTGAATGGGATCCCAACAACAGCAGACCCCCAAGGTTATGTACTCTTGCAAGGAGAGAGGCTGTTCCAATGAGCACTCAGCAAACGTATGACACTACAACCCCTACCCTGGAAGATTGGGACTGATGACAAGTGACTGCTACTGGTTGCACTGGCTCCTAGAGATTTAGATACATAAGTTACCTGAGGCAGCTGCCAGATAAACCACCTACAAGTGGTAACTCCTAGCCTGTCATTGGGCCCTATTGAAAACAGAAGCCCTGATCACCAAAGCACTGTAGATGACCTTAAGATTCAAGCCACCTATCCTTTAGGCGGGGCCTCAAAAAATAATAAATAATAAAATAAGACAGACTCAACAAGGCTGCATCATTAAATAGATTTGGCTCACCCAAAAGAGAGCCTACTTGGGCTCCAGTGGTCAGCTGACTCTATAAAAAGTAGCTGCTTTAGTGGAGGAGGCTAAATAGCCCATGAGGAATGTTCTTGCCTCTCCTGTAACCAAGTAAGGCCCACAGTTCAGTGATGTTCCAGCTGATAACATGGTTTGGTTCCCAGCTGGGTCCTCAAAATCCAAACTGACAGTCTACTAGGTCACTGTGGCTATCCACCCCCATTCACTACTCATATTAATGCATATAACAGAGCCATTTAAAAAGAGAAGGAACTAAAGAGTTCCTTCTTGTGCTCAGCAAATTGCCACTGTTTCCTGTAGAGTCCAGCACAGAGAGATCATAAAGTCCACCTCACGTACCAAAATGAGCCAAATCATGAGGACTCATCCTAAAAAACAGTAAATCCCATTATACAGCATGGCTGTGGGATTCCTGTCAGCATGCCTAGGCATACAATGTGACAAATTAGCCACATCAAGCAGAGCTTAACTCCTCCCACTCATGTGACAAATTAACTGCATGGACTCCTAGTCCCAAGTCACAGATCATAGAGGCGTCTCATTGCAGTAGACAAATACTGCAGTTACAAAACTGCCATTCCATGTACATATGGACACACAGATGATCACTGTGGCTTTAAAAAACACTGTTGGCCATTGCTGGCTGTGAAGGTGGCTTGGTGGGAACAACTGCTGAAGGGATGGCTGGAGATGTGGGCTGGGCCAAAGATGGACGAGATTCTTGCTGAGTTTATCAGGGGAACCATCTTAAAAATCTTCATGGCTGAAATGATGACAGTCTTAAAAGCCTGGGATTTTTTTTTTTTTTTTGGTATGAAAACTTAACTGCAGACCATAAACTTCCGGCAGAAAAAGGAATCTTTGGTTCAGGTCTTGCTTCGGTTATGTGAGAAGTGCACAAGTATCAATGACATAGCCCTTTTAGATATTGTTTATACACAAGTTCCTTGACATCTGGGATTGTTTTCATATGAGGAAAGGACCAGATGAAGACGCTGACTTCTTTGATATGGGAGAATTCAAAATCTCACTTTAGAAAATTCTTCAGGGAGCATTAAATAATGTGACACTAAGAACGCAACCTAGGTTCAAATTGCCTGGGGAACACAGTATACAAAGCCAAACCAATACAGACCTACTCATGTGGTGTATATTCCCAAACTCTGTATGTCTGTGCTTCTTCCTCCAGACTGAAGAACATTACACCCCTTCTGGGTCAGGCACTGATAATAGATAGCAAGCACCATCAAATTGTGAAAATGGACCTGAGAAGCTGACACTTGGACTCTTTAAAGGCTTTTGTTAATCAGACCTTTGAAAATCACAACTCTACATCTTTTCAGGAAAGAAGGCTTGGACTAGGTATAAATACGGATTCAAAAATTATTCATAAAAACACAGTAGAAAAAGAGAGTCCAAAGAGTAACTCAAGAAACTTTTGGAGATTATCTTTACCCACAACTGGAATTTGTACAATACAAGCAAGCTTGAAATGAAGGTCAAAGGTGACTTAAATGGGGGCATCTTGGCTGAGGGGAAAAGTTCTCTCTGGTGTCTAATGAAGTTCTCTAGCCCACATCTTTTGGAAGCATTGAAGTCCTGAGAACCAGCTGGTGTTGCAGATGCTCCACTTTCTCCTTTTCTCACTTGCATATCCAGTAAGACAATGAATTATTTTAAAATTAGAGGTAAATAAGATGTATGCATGTGGTTTTGTAAGCCCAGTGGCTCCTTGAACATGCATTCTAGTTAATGGTTAGCTACATAACTTCTATCTGCAAACTTGTTTTTTAGAAATTAATCCTTAGTATTAAAACTTGAGAAATATTCTTATCTTGTTGGGACTATTTCCTCTTCCCAATGTGCCCCTCCCTTCCTGCTAAGTATAGCAGTTGTGGGCATTTGAGATGTGACAGGAGATAAAACTCCAGATTGACACCAAGTGCTAGAATGTGCTGAAGTCAAGCAGATGGCATAGTGGTTGAGAATGGTGGTACTGTGTCTAATTCCCTTTTTTCCACTCCTGCCTCTCCTCAATTCTAAGAGGTCTAATTCCAGTTGCTGGCTTCGAAGAATTTTTTGTTAACCTTTGGATCATGGAAAGAACCAAGAAACTATATCGAACTCAGAATTTGTAGATAAAATTGGTCCATTCAGAGGGCAGAGTTGAGTACATTAAATTGTTGTTGCAGGAATTTGCATATTTGATGATTCACTTACATAAAATAATTGTTTCATTATAAATATGATACTTTTCATAATCTATTTTATCATACATGTAACATTCAAACTGATCATTATTATACTGATTTATGAATAAAGATACTGCAAAACAGGTAAAAAATAAAACCTTTGTCATAATGTTTAGATATATAGAAAGATTCCAGTCCAAGCAACACCACAATGAACAAGTTCCCATCACAGGAGATGGGCCTTTCATGCTGTCACTCCCAAAGCAACAAGGTGATTAAATGATGAACTGTGAGGCCAAATAACAACTGCACAAAGGTCATCCAAAAAAACCCAAGATGGGTGTATTGTGGATACCTGTAATCCCAGCATTCTGGGAGGATGAAGCAGGAGGACTCCAAGTTCAAGTTCAGCCTGGGAAAAAAGTTCTGGGAATATAGCTCAGGACAAAGGTCCTGGGTTCAATCCTCACTGCCACAAAAAACAAACAAAACCTGAAACCAAACCAAACCCCAAACTCCCCAAGTTACAGATGGTGCTCGCTGCCTAACAAAAGCCATCTGAACATTGAGACACTGTTCCAGCAGAAAGGAAACATGAGATCCATCAATAAGATGGACTTGGAAAAGGTGGAGGAACAGATGGTCACCAGATAGAGTTGTATCTAGAATCCTAATCTCAGTATACCAAACCTTTCTTTTTCTCTCAGCAGAACAGATTCCCCAGGGGTTTGTGCTCTGGGTTGCTGCTGTGCCATCAGTAGGTCCAGTTCAAACCTGGAGTCAATGCTATCTTCAGGTGACCCCTCCTTGTGGGACCCCAAAGGGTTGGGAGAAAAGCCAATAGAAAGCTGGGGCACTAGAGTTCCTCTGATATTTCCATGATATTATGGGATATGTCACGTCCATTTAAGATGTAGCTTTACTCCTTGGGTTGGGTGACTAGTTGAGGTAGAAAGGTTTGGGTCAAGCAACAGGTGCAGAGGATCCCCAAGGAAATCGAAGATAAGAGCATCTCCAGCCTCTGGAGGTTCATGGTAGTTTGGAGGGGGGCCATTAATTTGTCTTCTCATTCCTACAGAAGTCTCTGCTGTGCCTGGCATGGCAACACCCTGATAAGAATAAGCACAGCTGTGGTGAGAGGAGGCAAACTCAAACAATGCTGGTTTTGTCCCTCTCAGCCCACATTCTCATTGTAATGGCTTGGCCCACACCCAGTGGCTTGGAATTTCCTCAAGATGAACAAGAAACACTTAACTCACTAGCTAAGGTGGGAATGGACAATATAATAGCCCTGCTTCCTGCTGGCAGAACAAGGTGGCATTTGTGTTATTCAGCACCTGGTACTGTGCATGTATCATCAGGGAAAGCAGAAATGGAGTTGGCAACCCATATTCAGATGGGATGGTTATAAGCTATATAACCAGAAGTCTCCCCAAGACTCACTTTTTTACCTCTTCAGTTGTCTTAATCTAGGCATTATAGGGTTCCTGGTTGAAGGCCATCCTCCATTGAGACCTGGTCATTCTCCTAGGTCTGGTTCTTCTAGTGACCTTTGTAAAATGTCTCAAAATGGGGCTGGGGATTTACCTCAGTGGTTCTGGCGCCTGTCTTGCAAGCACAAGGTCCTGAGTTTGGTCCCTGGTACCAAAAAAAAAAAAAAAAAGTCTCAGAACAAATAGGGAGGTCTTGTCAACAAACTGCATCCTAAAGGTTGTTCAAGCCCCATTATACTGGGCTCTACCTCCACATTTGTCTTCCTGGATTTGTTACGCTCTATTTCAGCTGGGGGAGGACTGTTGGGAAAAGCAGTTATGTGCAGCTTCCTGCTCCTGCATGGGGACACAAGACCAAGCTTTGGGCCTAGAACACTCTTTACCCTGTGCTGGGCTTATTTCCTTGTGAGAGAATAGTTTTCCTTGTTTAAGACTCAGGGTACTCTTCATTCTGCTTAAGCTCCAGTGTCAGAGGCTCTCAGCATGGCCCCTGGCTTGCTTTCTGATTCCATGGTAGAGGGAAGGTCCTTCCCCTACCATGAGTGGGGCACTTGCAATCATGCTGCTCACACTGAAGAGTGCATCTGCTAGGCACAGGGGACCAAGGTTTTGCAAGGGGCTGGATCTAGTGCATTTTCCCTCTTTTGGGTATAAGTAAACATTGTGTGTTATCCGTTCTGGGTGACTGAAGCATGTACTGATCTCTTCCCTAGGAAGGACTTGTCTGCTTGTTGAGTTTGGCCATGCAGCCTGGCCACCCAGATGTGAAAATAATCTCTATGCTTTGCACTTTGCTTTTGGTGCAGCCAGTACCTCTACATTCTGGGATTTTGTAGATTGTTTCTCCTTTGCATTAACTTTGGTAGGTCACTGTAATTCTCATCAATGTCAGTCTCACCATTTTTGACAACTGCCATCTTCTCATCTACCATTTTCTTGTATTTAGATGCAGTTACAGGTATTTTGTCTTTTTTCAAGATTCAGTCATTACTAAGGAGCACCTACAGTATCTGGCACATAGCAGGCACACAAATAACTTTTATGAATTAAAGAATTTTTTAGAATGTACTGCAATTTGGTCATGATTTTCTGAAAATTTCCTTAATGCTCATGGCTGAGTAAAGCATTAAAAGTGTAGCAGATATGGTCATCAGGAAACAACTAGAATTTAGGTGAGTTAATGATTACTTCTAACTTGCTGGACCATGGATGATGTATTATCCTGAGTGCCATACATTTCTGTCCTTGAAATTTGTTCTTCTACACATCCAGCTTCATTCTCCACAATTTTTTTTCTAGAAAAAAAATACTCTACTCATCTAGTCATCAGTTGGCTGCTCTCTGAGATCCCCTTATTTGTGTGACTTTTTCATGTGTCATTTTGCAAGAGTGAACAAAATTCAAGTCATTTGGGAGAAATGGCCATTTGCCATGAATTAGCAGGAGACCATAAATGTTCAAAACATGGTTGTAAGAGTGTTGCATACCTGTAGTTGCAGCTACTCAGGAGACTGAAGCAGGATGGAATGAACACAGGAGTTTGACACTGGCCTGCTCAACAGAGACACCCATCTCAAAAAACTGCAAGCAAAACAAAGTTAAAATTTATCAGGAACTTTATCCTGACTCAACCCTACTCTTAACAATATTCTCTAATCCTGTGTATGCTTTCTTTGCAGCACTTGCTACAATCTGCCATACACTATTTTTCAGATTCTTTCCTTTTCTTTTCTTTCTCCCTCACCCCTTTTTTTGTTGCCTCGGGGAATGAAACCCAAGGTCTCAAAGCATGAGGTCTGGAGCATGCTAGGCATGCCTGAATTATTTTTTGGTCTCTCTTTGATTAGACTTTAAGTGGCATAAGTTCATGGACTATGTGTGTCACCTTTGCTATCTACCTAGCACTCAGCACAAAGTTAATATGAGGGGAGTGCTCCACAACTATCTATGGAGTGGACCATGACCTTTCAAAGCCCAGACTGCTAAGGTTTGTGTTGACAGCACTTGTACGAAGGGTAAATAGCAATTATATGCATGGCTCATCTTATTCTGCTACTCAAGGATAAATGTCCTTCAACCAAATAAGAAATCAGAAATAATTGCATCTTATGAGAATTGCTTTTGATTGGCTCAAGAGTGTAAAAATGACCATTCGACACAAAATTAATTTATAAATCAGTTTTTATTTACAGATTTATCTTTCTTAAAGTACATTTTAGTTAACAAATCTATTTACACAGGTTTACATGGGAACTTATCCCAGTTATTTTACAGATCATACTTACAAACCACACCCTTAAGTCTTCTGTGCAGAGTTGCACTGGATGTGACTATTGGCTGAAGATGGCCTGGTGACGAGGCTATTTACACATACACAGTAAACGGGTTTATTTTTCATGTCTGCACAATACAGTACACACAAGGAGGCTAAGCCTCCCAGAGAATGCTTTGCAATGTGTTTACCAAGAAGGCTTTGCAAAGTCCAGAAGGAAAAGCTATTAAACAAGGTTAATTAAAATGACAGTACCTCCTTTATATCAGTTTACATTTTCTTCACATTTTTATAATATAAAGATAATTTATTGAATTGCTGCACAACCAGTTTAAGATGATTTGTAAACATGTAAATTCCTACAATTTGCATTAAACATCATTGTAGTTTCTATCACTTGCTCTTTGAGTTAGTTTATTCACTAGTATTCTTAAGGTAGTAAAAGGAAGATGTAAGTCTGAATTTCTTGCAGAAAAGTTATGAGTCTCTAATGCTGTGCTACAGAAATTCTTTTTCGAGAACACATTTTATTCAAGTATTGCAAAAAGCTAAGGCCACTTTTTTTCAAGACAAGAAAGTGAACAAAATTGTTTTTATCAATAGGCCACAACACTCTTATGAGCAATGAAATCTCTTTTGAAAGATAATTTCTCAGAGACTTGTAGTCACAGAAGGAATTTTCTTTTCTTTTAGATAAAAGAAAACCAAATTACCTTCCTTATTAACTACTTTTGAGCTCTTCCCACTTTTCCCTAGAGTAAAAATTCTTGTTTAGACCTGAAGAGGGAATCTATACCCTGTACTTATTTAACCCAGAGTTAACTGCCCTGGATAGCACAAATTGTTTGGGACTCAGAATTAAATCTGAAGCCTGTATGTTGGTTTACTACTAAATTCTGACAGTGCTATTCTAAAAGGTATTACTGCTGATGCAAAGATCTTTTTCTTAAAGAATTATGAAGACAGACTGAAAGAGGATGGGGAGTAGGAAGGAGTAAAGATTAGAAAGAGGGAATGTATACGTTCTTGGTTAAGAGGCAGAGTTTGATTAAAAAGATCCCAGTATGGAAAAGTGTTGGGTATCCTATTTATTCCTAATCCTAATAACAAATCTATTTTAATTAGATCCCCATAATTAAAATAAGAAATCTGTTACTATAGATTCTTTGTGGCTTTTGTTTGTTTTGTTTTTTGCTACAAACTATGGATGATATTTCTGTCAAAGAATGACTGGTCTTTTACTGTCTCTCATCTGGAATCCAGGATCTTGGATAGCAAAGACAGCTGAGTAGGTTAGGATGCCTACTGCCACATTCTTGGCAGCAGTTTTTACCAAGGAACTCTAGGTCCAGATTGCTGATTCCATGGACTTATATCAGCATTATTTTCCTTTTCTGGAATCACGATGTCATAAAGAGTAAAGATAAACTTTCTTATTAAAAATTAGTTTTAGGTTCAGATAATGAAGATGTAGAAAAACCACCTATATTCCTATTATAATATTTTGATATTCATTTATAAAAAATTTACAGCAGCTGTAAAGTTTCAGTATCATAAGGACAATGTGACCCTATCAACAGCCAAAAGATGTAGACAAGATGTTTTTCTGTCTTCCAGATAACATAAACCAAAAAGATAAGTCTTTGCTTTTCCTTGGCCACATGAAAATAATATTTCCACACTGCTGGGTAATAACCCCAAGAAACCTTTGCTTCTTTTAGTCAATTTGCTCATTATGGCTACAAGACTCAGCTCAACATGAAAGGCCCAGAAGAAATGCTGGAAATACATCAAAATAGCATTTCCCAAGACTCAGTCACATTTCAGTGCTTTCCACATTTGTCAAGAGCTATCACACCAGTCATTGTGCAAAATACAAATATTCCAATGATTACTTCAGTTTTTTATAATGACAGGATAAAATAGAAGAATGGAAGTGTGCATAGTGAAACATTTAAGATGCAAAGGCAAGTTTGGAGGAAAGATGCAGAAATAAACGTGCACACTTAGATTATACCATCTTTGGGGTTTTCTAACATATTTTGAAGTTATAACATTCCAGCATATTTGTAACTATGAATCCAGTGGATGTCTTATATCATGCTTCTAATCTGGACCTTCAAGATTAAGGCATTTACATTCACGCCTAAGATTATCCACATTCTTCTGGATTACATGAAGAGGGATAGGACTGATTAAGAGAAACCAGTCAGGAAGGCAGGTACTGAGGTCCTTGGAGAGCATCTTGTGTGCTCTAATGTAGCAGCTGGAGTCTATAGTCTATTTCAGATACAGGTAATAGTTGTAAGAAGCAATGCTGCAAGAGAGGCAGAATTAAATTTTACAGTGTCTTTAAATCATTTTCTCCCATTTCTGCTATTGCAAGTGATCTTGGAAAAGCTCATCTTTTCAGTGAATTTAACTGACTTCTTCAATATGTGTATGGGTTTGTTAAACCATAGGTTTCCTGTGCAAAACTATGAACCATAGAAGCTTCAAGATGGAGGTTTGACTATTATAAGAATCTTTCACTTCTGAATAGGGACACACATTTCCAACTTAATAATTTATCTTAAAATAAATTAAAAAATGTTCCATAGAGTAAAACAAGCACACAAACTATAGACAATATCTTTTTGTCTTTGGTGCACACACTCATTTCCTAAATCATTCAAGTAACAGAGTCTCTGACTTCTTGGGGATAGAAGGGAGTTGAAAGTTTGAAGGCCAAAATGAATTATTTCCACGTTTGCCATGCCTGGATGCCTGAGATGGTCCTGAGTATCTGTGATTCTGGGAACAGATCGTAGAGGTTCAGGATGAAGAGAAGTTCAGGGGTAAAATAAGGGGTAAAGGAATCAGCCCTGCAGCAGTCCTTTAAGCCCAGTCTTCAGTGGGGACATTTTTTTTGTTCTCATGCCCAGACAGGAAAACTAAACATAATCTAAAGGATTACAGTTCTTTAGGTGGTACTCAGAAAGCAAGACTATCATTTATTTCTGTTAATTTGACAGTCTGATTGATGCTGCTCAATTGCAATAATGGAAGAAAATGGTCTTCAAAAAGAAATGAAATCAACTCCAGAATGTGAAATAGGCATTAAACTTGTGTATTTTAGAAGTGATTCAAGGTTTAATACTGTCTAAAAGATCATAATGTTCATTTTTGACTTTCATGGTATAGACCAGGAGTATATTTCAAAAACTGTACGATAAATTTATCTATATATACCTCTCTCTTGCTTGACTTCACACTCAAGGAAGTGATACCCTAGTCTAAGCTCAGAGGTTAAGTCTGTTGTTCTGAACCCTCATCTGAGACCTAGAAGGGGTGCTAACAAGAGATGTAGAATATTGTGACTCAACATCAGGAGTATAACCCTGCCCACTGAAATAACCAAGTAATCCAATGGACAGTCTCTAAAGGCAAAGGCTGTAATATCAGATATACGGCATTGTCCCATGAACTCCAAATCAGCAGTCCATAAGAATGGGTACAAGGTCCGGAAGCACTCTTGCTATGATGGAGATGGGGTGTACATCAGGAGGCAGAAAGGTCCAGGACTCATATTAACACTCAGTGTTCAATTTATTTGCAAGATGTCACACAAGTAGCATTCTCCCCTGTTTTTCACTGATCTGATTCAGAACATCAATAGTATCTTTGATCAAGGTCTCAAAGATCCCATCAGCCAACTGCATCTTCACACACAACTCGTCCTCATCATAGTTCACCCACTGTGCCTCCTCCTCGTGGAGCTCCTGTACCTAATATTTGGAAGACAGCAAGGTTAAAAAGTCCCTGTCACACAGAAGTTAGGATATATATTATATTTGATGACTTTGTAGTCCCACATACAGTCTAAGGAAATAAGCTAGAGGAAAAAAAGTAATTTATATGATACCAACATCCCTTCCAAAAGTTTGAAAAAACTCACCTGTCAAATGTAATAAAAATGGCTTCAAAACTATATTTCAATTTGACAGTATTTCAGTATTTTATAGATATTAAGGATTGTAAGTTTGTTGTCTATGTTAACAGAAGGGAACATGTGCAGGAATTTAAGGGAAAGAAAAGAACACAAAACATAGATATATAGATTTACAATTATAAAGTGCATATGTACAAAGACAATATTGGATATGATTCTGGAGTATTACAAATAAATGAATAACATTTAATACTCATTAGGATATTTGAAAAAATGTAATACTACCTAAGTTCCTTTTAAAAGTCACTGTTATGCAATACTTGCTCTTTTTGCATTTTAGGATTTTGAGATTCTTAGGTAAATGAA